GATTGTCTTTGGTCCCCAGAAACAAACAGAGAGCGTCATCTGTCACCTACAGTCTCTCTCCCTAAAACCTTCAAACAAGGTCAGAAATCTAGGGGTAATACTGGACTCAGGCTTAAATTTTAATAGCCACATCAAAATCAGTAACATCAGCAGCTTTTTACCATCTAAAAAACATTGCCAGGATCAAAAGCATAGTGTCTAAAGCAGACCTGGAGATTCTTATCTATGCATTTGTCTCCAGTAGGTTAGACTACTGCAATGGCCTGCTCACAGGTCTGTCCAAACAGGCTGTAAAACAGCTGCAGTACATTCAAAATGCAGCAGCACAGACCACTGAGCGAGTGAGCAATCTGAGGTGAGGCACGAAGGAGCGCCAGCTCACGGGCACCGCCCATGGATCTATAATAATAACTGCAGAGGCAGCGGAGGCAGCAGACCGCCACAGAATGGGGCCTGTTTCTGAATTATATAGATTAGCGTGGAATAAAAGTACAAACTGCTTGTCACAGGTCTTGATGAGCAATTATGTAGGGATCCGGACCCCGAAATGCTAACCTGTCTGAATCGAACCTCTGACAGGAGTGGGCATTTATGTAGCTAGCCTTCCCATATTCCCATACAGTAACCCCTTATGTTGCGGTGCTTTGCCTGACAGTTTTGTCTGTACATTTTATATAAGAACCCAGACCAAGAAACTATATGTTGTGGGGTCATATAGTAACAAAAGTCTAAACTCTGCCACAAAAACCTGCGGCCACTGCACCTCTTGTCCCCAGGGGAAAACTTGTGCTGCATGCTGCCCGAAGGCATTTTGGATAGAAATGATACCCCAATGTGCACAAAAGAGACAGTAATTTATAGAGGTGCAGAAAAAAAAGTTGTGTGCACGTTGTTCAGTCCACTCACCGCGTAATCAGGGCGAGCAGAGGAACGGAGAAGCCGGCGTCATTCAAATCCCCTGTATGAGAGCATTTTGGCTTCACTGTAACTATACTGATGATTAAATAGTCGACAAAACTGTCACGATGTGTAAACAGTGTGACACAAGAAAGACATGAGTGAAAAAAAAGCATCTCAACGACCGCTTATTGCCGCGGCATTTAAGCAGCCCCTTCATGCACAGTCAGACCGGGCTAAAGTCAACTCTCGCGCGCATCCACAGTTGCGCTCACGATTGAGGCTTGGACGTCCCGCAGAATCCATGAGCGGAACGGAGACCTACGATAACCGCTCACCTCATCACCGCAGACTGGGAAATGAGAAGTCTGGCGCTGCAGACACGCCCCCGCTACGAAAGTCACACAGCGCAGGTACTGACACAAGCATCGGAGGAATGGAAGACAAAGGCCCAGTACTAATATCCCAGTCACAATTGATAATGCCAAAAATTAAATAAATGTAGTGAATGAGGCTGGACTGGGCCCAGAATGGAGCGCCTCCTTGGGAGAATCAGGAAGGTGGTTTAATATATGAGGGCAAATACCCTCATAAAGTGCCTTCTTATGTTGCACTTTGTGTTAATTTTCATTAATTATGTTAAAAAGACATAATTGGATGGATGGATGGAATATGCCTTCCATCCATCCATCCATTTCCTTCCCCTTAATCAATTTGTAGGTCAGGGGGGTGGCAGTCAGAGCTGCACCTAGTACACAGAGCCCCAGCCCCTCACTGATCTTCCTGCAGGTGCCGAGTCCACATGAGCCGTGTTTATTAAAAAGACAAAACTTTTTATTTTTTTTTTTTTATGAACCGAACTGTGGCCTCTGAACCGAGGTACGATCCGAACCATGATTTTTTCAAACCGTTGCACCCCTAGTAATTTAACACACGCTCAAACATAAAGTAGTACTTATTGTACACAAGTACAATAAACAATATACAATGAAATTGCACACAATATAGAACACTAGTAATACTATGCAGCACGGTGGCTGAGTGGATAGCACTCTTGCCTCTCAGCAAGAAGGTCCTGGGTTCGAATCCCGGTCGGAATAGGGCCTTTCTGACTGGAGTTTGCATGTTCTCCCCGTGTCTGCGTAGGTTTCCTCCGGGTACTCTGGTTTCCCCTACCACTAAAAATATGTACAATAGGTCTGGCATGCGCCTCCTGTACTGGCGACCCGCTCCCATCTCTGTGTGGAGTGAGAGGACAAATGCCCTAAAAATAACAATTGTGAACCGCTTTGAGACTCCGGTGTGCTGTGAAAAGGCGGTATATAAATAAAACTTACTTACTACTTACTACTATTCAGCTAACTAATCTAACAATAAAATCAACTAATGACAAAAACTACAATATTCAAAAACAACGCTATTAACACTACACAATTATCTATTATACAAACAGCTGTGCTAATAAAAATCTACCTAAATGCTATAATTAATCGCAAACCTGACAATCGATGAAAATACTCTCCGCGGCAGGGCAACTGACGTCAGCCATCACTGCAGACGTCAGCCTTCACGGCTGTGCCAATGTTGGCGCCAGATTCAAAATTCAAATGTAGAAAATACAGGTCGCCTGCAGATGGCGCCTCACTGACGGTTTTCGGCAGAAAGTTGATCTTTCAACTAATTTGCACTAAAGTGACAAAATTATGACCAGGATATGTACACAACACTATCGGACACTCATTTATACCATCCATCCATCCATTTTCTTCCCCTTAATCCATTTCTGGGTCGGGGGGGTGGCAGGCAGAGCTGCACCCACTACACTCACCACTACACCCTCACTGATCCTCCTGCAGGTGGTGAGTCCACAGGAGCCTTGATTTTTCAGCAAGGGCTTCAGGCAAAGTGGGGTTAAGGACACAAGGACACAACAACAGCAGACATCAGTGGGAGTCGTGAAGTAGGTCTTGTGGTGGGCTCGAACTTACAACCTTCAGGCTCTAAAGCCAATGCTCTACCAACTGAGCCACTGTCGCCCCTCATTTATACCATTTATCAGCAAAAAAATGAAAACCTGCGGCTTAAATTTAACTTTTAAAATGTTGATGTTGCGGCTTACAGGTGCGCCCAATAGTCCAGAAAGCATGGTAAGTTGTAGGAACATAACATGTGGGTGTACCGCAAGGGTCAATACTGTAACCCACATAATTCATGAAGTAAATTATTTAAATCAATTATTGAACAAACTTTAGTAGTGTCTTGTGCTGTATGTGAAACTTTGAGGGGGAGAAAGGCCATCCCTACTCTTTGGACAGTACTATTTTTACATTTATTGGAAGATAAAACAGAAAGTCTACCATATATAGAAGAAAGTACCACTAAAAGCAAGCTATAGTTTGTATTATATCCTGAAGCAGCCACCATTTAAACCCATTGTAATGAATTCAAAGCGATGCGCCGCAAGTTTACCATCTTTGGGTTTGTGAAGGCAACAGGGAGAGGCTTTTTCATCACCGGCAAAAACAAAACATCAAATAGAAAATTAAAAATGCATGCTTTCCCTTCAGATCTTGTGATTATGAGGCGGTTTCCCCATAGACGAGGCCCTTCTGTCTAAACACAACAGCGCTGCTATTTACAGCCTCCGCATCCATTATTCAAACATGTCCCATTTCCACAATATTATGAATTTCTTCGATTGTTCTGAGCCATATATTGTCAGTGTTTGCTGACTAAGGCTTAGTAACACAATATATTCAACAATGTTAGTGTGATAAAAATTCTTGGAGATAGTGTGACTATAGAAAACTCCACGGTAAACACAGCACAGGAATCTGGCTTGAATTTGAATTGAAACGGGGAAAAGAACTCGTAAGGTGCAAACATTTGCCGTTCTAAAAGTTCAATTGTATTTATTAGTGTGTTGCCCCAAATCACAATAGGAGTCGTTTCAAAGTTGTTGATTCCAGAGACCAGAGAGAGACCAGAGAAAGAACAGAGAGAGAGACCATGGACAGAGACAAGCTTGAGAACTGATTGGCTGAGTGAGGGTGGTCCTCTCTATTTAACTTTTCTGTGTGAAAAAGCCGATCTAAAAATGTGATGGAGGCCAAAAATAGAATGATAGAAGCATACTGTTTTAGAGCCTGGAACTAGAGACCATCTTATTTATCCAGTTAAATTCTGCAATTGGATATTTGTCCACCTACTTTCTGAATAAGAGAATCGAGAAGCCACACAAGAAAGTTACCACATAGTTTTGGTACTAAAGTCTTTCAACTCTGTCAGGCTGTCATACAACTCCCCTACTTTAGCCTTGATGCATAACTTAGAATGACAGAAGCGACAGTGCAATCTTCTCGCTTGAACCCAGCAGGGACAACAACCTGACAGTGAGAAACATGGCTTATTTTGTTACTTCGTCGAGAAGGAACCCCGTCTGTCAAACGCTCGGTGCTATCAGAGGGAAGACGAGCGAGAACAGCAGGACGATCAAGAGTTTTAAAGCTCATAAGTGTAAAAAGTGAGAAACTTTTTTTGTTAGAGCAGACGTATCTATGACTTTAAAGCTTCCCCTATCTCTCTCTGGCGTCTCTCTCTCTGGCGTCTCTCTCTCTCTGGCGTCTCTCTCTCTCTGGCGTCTCTCTCTCTCTGGCGTCTCTCTCTCTCTGGCGTCTCTCTCTCTCTGGCGTCTCTCTCTCTCTGGCGTCTCTCTCTCTCTGGCGTCTCTCTCTCTCTGGCGTCTCTCTCTCTGGCGTCTCTCTCTCTGGCGTCTCTCTCTCTGGCGTCTCTCTCTCTGGCGTCTCTCTCTCTGGCGTCTCTCTCTCTGGCGTCTCTCTCTCTGGCGTCTCTCTCTCTGGCGTCTCTCTCTCTGGCGTCTCTCTCTCTGGCGTCTCTCTGGCATCTCTCTCTCTGGCATCTCTCTCTCTGGCATCTCTCTCTCTGGCATCTCTCTCTCTGGCATCTCTCTCTTTGGCATCTCTCTCTTTGGCATCTCCCTCTCTCTCTCTGGCAACTCTCTCAAATCTCTCTAGTCTCTCTGTCACATTCAAAGCAAACCGCAATCAATATAAAGCATACATCTTATAATTCGATCATAAATGCTAAAACCCAGTTCTTGGTGACAACTCTAGCAAAAGCAGATACTGTTTTCTCACCTTCTCTCTGTCCTCCACCAGATCTGCCAGAGGGTCGTCCATATCCAGAATTCCTCCATCGCTGTATTCAAGCCGATGAGTCTGGACCACGCTGTCTTCCTGCTGATAAAACAGGGTCGGAACAGGTCTGTTACTTGATTTACCATTTCCCAATAATGTTCAATAACTTAAAAATCACAAATGTTGCCCAAATATCTATTGACCATTAATTGTCTTTGCAAGAGTGGAGATATTACACTTTTTGACTTTTTTCCGTCTCGGGATGACAGTGACATTGGCCTTATCCACCAACTCCCACTGATTTCTGCTGTCATTGTGTCCTTGGACAAGACACTCAACCCGACTTTGCCGGAAGCCCCCGCTAAAAGATCAAGGCTGCACCGTCACGGACAGAACAGCCATCCTCCTGTTGACTGTCGGCTGTTAAGCGGTAGAAAATGGATGTTTGGATGGACTTTTCTCTGTTTCAAACATCATTCCAGTGCTATTCATACACATGCCCAGGGTAGTTTATTTGTTAGAGAGCGATCTTTCTATTTCATTCATTGAGAGCCAGCAAAACGCCCGGGTATGACGATTTTAACATCAATGACGAATATGACACTTGGAAGCAGGTTTTTAATTTTAATGATCTTAAAAGGTACACTGTAAAGTTTTTACTTCCATCTAGGGTTGAGATCACATATTGCAGTCTTCTTCTACCACCAACACTAAAGACGCCTCCAAGGACCACAGTGGGTTGGTAATTCACCGGACCATTAAGGAAAGAATCCTTTAGATTGATAAATGACTGGATCATGGGTTAGGGTTAGAGTTAGGGTTAGGGTTAGGCCATGGATCTATTATAATATATAGTTTTACCATTATAATATATATAGTTTTACCATGGATATAATATATATAGTTTTACAATGAATCTATTATAATTTTTTAACATGGATCTATTATAATATATAGTTTTACGAATACGGTGTGAAGAGAAGAGACACTTGGAGAAATGGGATATCTGTGGGAGCTTAAAACTACGATGATCCGAGAGGCAGGTCATTGCCTTGGACACAGCCACGGCAGAACAGCGGCTAAAATCTCAGATTATTATCTTTCACCAGGCGCTGCATTCACATCACGGTAGGGCTGGGCGATTAATCGATTTTAATCATTAATTCGAGTTTTACATTTAGGGCGATTTCTTTTTTTAAAAATTCGATTTTTATTTTCTCCATCGCAGAACTACAGCGCTAACGCGCTAACCGCGGGTCTATGGTGTTGAGCAGTCATTTTGAAGCTAACCTAATGCTAACAGTCTCCCTCTGGCCTGATGCTCGCTCTCACAGTTGCTGCTGTTGCAATAACACTTCAAACGTTCAAGAATCAGACTTTATTTAAATCGCCAGAACACACACACACACGCACGCAAGCCCCGGTCGCTATGTTCGTACGCCATGTTCGTACGCCACATCTTTCACGCTCTCTCACGCTCGTTATTCCAAAGCGCACTCCCGTGTCCGTGGCGCGCACACACTCGTGTCCCACTGAGCCGCTGCACTTTGGGGAAAGACACGTCTCACACATTGCTCTCATTGCTCTGATACAAACAACGTGTTCCCCGCTGTCTGTTAGCTACAGTAGCTGTTAGCTACAGTAGCTGTTAGCTACAGTAGCTGTTAGCTACAGTAGCTGCTACAGTAGCTGTTAGCTACAGTAGCTGCTACAGTAGCTGTTAGCTACAGCATCAGAATGTAAACAGGAAGCTCGCACAATGCGGGAGTCACTGAAGTTAGTATTAGCGCCACCAGCTGGACCGAGCGTTGTACTACAGCACAGTTACTCAGGCACAGTTGAAAGAACAAGCATGAAAACCCGAGGAGGCTTTTGGAAAAGACTGTCTGTTACAACATTTCTATTTTGAGTAATCAGTTTTAAAAATGTGATATTTCATGTAAATAATGCATGTGTTTAATAGGATTGATATATTTGCGATGGGCCTTGTTTGTGTGATTTAAGTTATTTTGAAGGTGCATAGTGTCATTGTAAGTGAAGTTATTATAAAACTGTTAAGCTACATTTTCACTGTTTACAATGGCAGAGCCATCTCGTTTACAAGCATGTTTTAAGGCTTAATTCCTGTTACACTTATGCTCCATGGGGATTTAGATTGAACTGCATAAAGGAAAATCTATTTCTTTGTCAGTTGTAGTTTGTTTTTAAATAGAAAAAAATAAATCGATTAAAATCGAAAATCGGATTTGGTGTGAAAAAATCGGCGATTTTTTTTTTTTGCCATATCGCCCAGCCCTACATCACGGTAAGTAAAAAGAGAACTAGGGAAGATTTTTTTGTGTCCAATTTGAAAAAATGTTTAGCTTGAATTCTTCCATTTGAAATTTTTGACCCTGAAAAAGTATGTTTGAATATTTTTATCTTTGCATTTCAGTCACTAAAAATTCAGTTTACAAATTTCAATGTGATTGAAATTTCAAAATGACATTTTCATCTTAAAAATATTCAAAAAATAAATTTTCCAATGAAAAAAAAAAAACAAAACGATTATTTGTTCCATCAGAAATTGAATTTTAGATGGACCTTCATCTATTTGAATATTTTTAACATCTTGAATATTTTTTGTGAATTTCAGTCACTGATTATCAATTTCATAATGTTAAATTCAACAGTCTAAATTCACCGCGAAAAAATACGATGGTGAAAAATTCACATGACACATCCAGTGTTCTGACAAGTTGTGTACTCTGTCAGTTGGTCTGCGCATAAGCAAATGAACTCTGTTTTCTCTTCACTGAAGTTGGAATCTCTCGTTATGTCTCCTCGTTACTATGGACATATTTATATTAGTTTAACGTTCTGACAGCTAAAGTTATACTTTGCTTCGATGTGGATTAGATACATCTTAACTGCAAATGAAAACATAGGGGTGTGGGAGCCAAGCTAAGTTTAGTTTGTGCTACATGCAAAATAGCAAACTAACTGTATAGAGTGTTAACAATTTGTTTGTATATTTTCTATGAACTGGTAATATCTTATCTAGCGTTATTTGTTTGATTAATATTTGACGTAAGCCCCCGCTGAAAGATCAAGGCTGTCCTCTCAGCGACAGAGATGCCTTCTGTGGACCCTCCACCAGCAGGAGGAGCAGGAGGATCAGTGAGGAGCAGGAGGAATCTGTGAATTGGGTGGCAGCTGATTGCCACCACCCCGACCCTTTAGAACTAATGTAGATTTTGTTAACTTAATGTTAATTTACATTACCGTCCCTTTGAGAGAGAGAGATTCTGCTTTGTTTACGGAGTGAGTGGAGCCAAAAGAGCACGTAACTTTTTGCAGCTGAAGAAATAAGAAGCCAGACGGTGTTCTTACCATTGTTACTTTATTTCAGAGACAACTCTTTAATATAATTTAGTGTACAAGAGTTCAAGCTGTGGAATACATGTTTTTTGTTAATTCCAGAGTGAGCCCTGTGGAAACTGCTACACGGGAAACGCTGCACCTGATAGCGTTACGCAGTATTTCGGCCTACCAACAATAAAACACTGTCCGTCGTTGCTATAAATGTTCAACATGTGATGGTTTTCCCGAACACAAACAAACACACACAGCCTAAATAAATAAACAGGAATATACAGCAATAATGATTTGCAACAAGCACATTCACCCAAAATGTTCAAAAGACTAACTCATCAAATGTATGTAGTATCATCTTGTTATTTGCCTTGGATACATTACAATCCATTCATTAGAAATCCCATATCAAACTGTTAGATTCATGTTATCAACCCGATAGACCTGCGGAAAGCTATGCCTGTCTTTACCTCAGTAAAATGACGCATGCACAGACCAACTGACAGAGTACACAACTCATCAGTACACTGGATGTGTGATGTGAATCTTTTTTTTTCGCGGTGAATTTAGACTATTGAATTTAACATTATGAAATTGATAATCAGAGACTGAAATTCACAGAAAAAAATATTCAAATAGTGAATTAAGGTCAATTTAAAATTCAATTTCTGATGGAACAATAATTTTGGAATAATTTGTCTTTTTTTTTTCATTGAAAAAGAAATTGAATATTTTGAAGGTGAATATGTCATTTTGAAATTTTAATCACATTGAAATTCATAAACTGAATTTTTAGTGACTGAAATGCAAAGATAAAACCATTCAAAACATACTTTTTCAGGGTTAAAAATTTCAAATGGAAATTTTCAAGCTATAAAAAATTTCAAAATCTGATGACACAATAAATCTTCCATAGAGCCCCTTCAAATGCGCACTATTGATATTCTGGCGATTGGTTTCGAACGGGCCACAACAATTCAAAAACATGGTGAAGGTTAATATTCTTTAAAAAGGTCACAATAGATTGGTTAGCATGTTTTTTTTTTTCATTTTGAGCAACTAAGAATTACAGAGTAGCTTTAAATAATGTCATCAAAACACACTGGACTCTCTCCCTGTCTGGCCCCTCTCTCGCTCTCTGGTCTCTCTCGCTCTCTGGTGTCTCTCTTTCTTTCTCTTTCTCCGGTCTCTCTCACGCTCTGGTCTCTCTCTCTCTCGTGCCACAGCCGGTTTGTTGACGTTGGGCAGAAAAACTGGTGGAACTGGATAAACTACTGACTTTCCCGGTTCACGACCAGGACAGAACTACAGACACCAAAGGAAATCAGAGACGGATCATAATAAAGGTTTATTGTTGATTTAGTAACAAGAGCAAAGACCAGCGTTTAGGAAAGACTAGAATATGTTTAAGTTTGACAATTGTTTGTTATAGGGATGAGAATGGGTTATTTCAAAACAGTCTGAAATGCAGAATGTCATTCAATCTGTTTGATCTGCTCACAACATTTTACTTTTGGGCACAACCAACATGAACTGGTAGTGGAAAGGAAAAATTAGGTACCCCAGCTTTAGTTTAGCGAGTTTTAAATGCGCTTCGGGAGGAGACACGGACTCCATGGTCCAGCTTCATCTTTATTGCATGGACAGGTGACGCACAGACACGCACACAACAAGCCGAGAATAGTTCTGTGGCGTGTATGGTCTTGGATATGACCACGTTACGGCGGCGGCGTTCGCCGTGCTGTTAT